AGAAGCAATTCATACTTCTTCAATGTGCATATTAATTCTTTCTATATTAGGTTTAACTATCAATTAATTATTAATGTTGCTTGGAATTAAAATTAGAAATGTTAAGTGGTCTATGGGGAATGAGTCTGGATCAGATTTTTTAGGGACTAGCTCCAAAACTAGTTTTGACATCACATGATATTTCACATGATATTAATAGAGTGTTATTTTTGACATGTTAAATAGAATTCAATAAATAAGAAATCATGAACGATACTCTTTAAGTAACGGTATTTTAAATAGTAATTTATGTGTTTCAATTTAAATTTCAATTGGAGAATTAAATTAGTTAGGCCTTTCTTACAGTATTTCACTTTCGATCAATAATGGCATTCCCATTTTAAAACTTTACTAGAATTATTAAGTGCTTCAATTAATAAGTTTAAATCAAATTGATCAAAATTAGTAAATGCTTTATTGTTTTTACGTCATATAGAATTTCAAATTATATTAAACCACTAGGGTAGGACCAGTTTTTAACTAATTTTTGACAGGGGTGAACTAGTTTTTAACTAGTCCAAGACCAGACTTCTTAGGAACTGGACCTAGACCAGACCAGACGCACCACTTAACATCTCTAAATTAAATTGAAAAAGCTTAACTAAAAGTCGATTTAAAATCAACTAATTAAGCATTTTAACGTCCTTACTTTAATGCTTAGTAATTGTGAAAGCTATCAATACAAAGTTCTTATATTACTCCTGCAGCCACAAATTTTATAAATCATAAATCTGTAATCATTAACTCTTTAATCTTATTAATGTGTGTTTATTGCTTTTTAATCGTAAAATAGTCAATAACTAGGTTGATAAAGTGAAACAACAGAACCAGCTCTTTGCTATAGGGTGGACAATAGCAAATGTCTGCACAATATATTAGTCTTAAACAAATTACTATTTAACTAATACATTTTAGTGCTTTCTATCTTGCAATTCATATGTAAAAAAATAATTACTATTGTTAGCTTATGATTGTACTTAGAGGTGTAACAGGCCAGCCCATTATACACCCTAATTGTACTATACTAAAAAATTCCTATTACCCAATACTTTACTTTTAAAATGCTTGAATTTAACAAGATGCCAAAGCATAATTACACTCAGATCTATAATAGAATATTTATTTAAAATATTTCTATGCTGATACATATGCCCGACTTTAAGCTATTCTTTATTAACAGTATTTTTTCATGCAACACAGTATATGACTAATTAACATCTTAACTTTAAATAGATTATTATTTTTATATATACAAGATTGTTATGTAGCGCTTATTATTTACTATAAAAGCTTATTCTTAATATGCTTGAATTATTGATGTATAATGAAAGTAAAACATATTTACCAAACTAAGAGAGAAGTGATAGTAAGAGATCTGCCAAACTTATGCAATTTCAGGGATTTTTCATTGAACAATAAAAATTTCTGAAACTGCATAAGTCTGGATACTCTAATTCATCATAACTATGTATCGTTTGCATAGAAATTTACAATAGTTTTATTTGTATTAATATAGTTAAATTGAAGAACCAATGTTAGCAATAAATATGATATAAAATTATTAAAATTTGTAAGCAATAACAATTGCTTATGTTAAACATATCAAATTGAAAACCCAAATCTATTAATATAAATCCATTTTCTATTGTTGTTCAATTAAAAGAAGGTTCAAATAATGTTGATAGTGAATTTTCTACTGAAGAAAGCGAAAACAATTCCTGCCAGCTTAAAGTACCATGATTGGCCAAAGAATCATTAAACTGGGACCCGAATTGGCCTAAACTATATCCTTGGGTTTATTGTGGAGAAGGATCATTAACCAAATTTATGTTCTGTTGTTGGTACAAAGAGGCTGGTAAAAATAATAATTTTACCAAAGGTTGTGAATACTTTAAAAAACAATACTTAGATTAGGCATATTAATATTAATGATCATCAGTTAGTTTGTGCTGCTTGAATACAATCTCAAATTACCTTGCATTCTAGTTTTGCTATTCAAGCTGGAACTGATCAAATTAAGGTTATAAGAAATATGTGCAATATATATTTTTTAATTCAACATAATTTGTCTACTAACATATTTGAAAGTTTGTGTAAGCTATCTGAAATTCAACGTGGTGAAGACCAAAACCAATTTGAATATAGTATTGAGATTTTGAATTTATTTGATAATAACCAGCTTGCTAATAATGATGAATAAGCACAATATGGTAGTTATTAAAATAATGTTTTAGCATGTGAATTTATTGAATCAATTGGTCATGTTATAGAACAAGAAATTTTTCAAGAATTACGTAAATCAGATGGTTGGAGTCTTATGCTTAATGAAAGCAATACTATATCTGCCAAAAAAACTTTGGCAATTGTTTCTAAACATTTAATTGCATCAGCAAAACCAATTTATTGATTTCTTGAATTAATTTTATTAACAGATGGCACTGCCAATACAATTATTGCTAAAATTAATCAGTTTTTTCAAGCAAAACATATATTGTATAATGATTTAATGCATATTTGTACAGATGGTGCTAGTACAATGATAGGTATATATTAAATTTTATTTTATTGCCCCTTATACCATCTTGCAGACAAATTTTCTGCAAATTTCATGATTAATCTGTAATTGAGCTATCAAACTATATTGAATTGTAGTCTATATCATAGTATACTTAAAGTTAAATTGATGGTATAAGGGATATGTATATATATATTTAAAAAATTAATATTTATAATTATTGTACTATAGGTTCTCATGTTGGTGTAGCAACTCAACTTAAAAATAAAAATCCATTTATTTTGGAGCATCATTGTATTTTTCATAAATTAGCATTAGCCGCAAAGGATGTGACAAAACAAGTTGAAGAATTTAAACAATATGAAAAAATTGTATATAATATTTATAGTTATTTTTCACGAAGTCCAGAACATATGATGCATCTTAAATGACAGAAGAAAATCTTGGTGACCCACATCTTACAGTTTTAAATATTATTGAAACCTGTTGGTTGTCATTATCTAATGTTATTCAAAATCTGCATCAAATTTTAAGTTCAATAATTGATGCATTGCTTGAAGATTCATATAATAATATAGTTGCTGAAACTTTATACAATAGTATTGATAAGACCTTTATTATTACAACAAAATTTTTTGCTGATATTCTTAGAACATTAAGACGAATGAATCTTCTTTTTTAAAAAAATCATATTACTATTCGTAAAGTAAAAACTCAACTTGATGTTACTATTTATACTATTCAATTACAATTTCTTGGAACTAATAAAGTTAAACCATCTTGGGGAACTTATTTGCGCAGGTATATAAATGATTATAATATTATCGCAGATGAATTACCTATTATTATTACAAAATTTGCATGTGCCTCAATTGAATCGTTAGAGAAAAGATTTTCAGATCGAATTCAAGTTGACGCATTTCATATTTTTGATACAATAGCTTTACCTGTTAAGAATTCTGGATTTTAAAAGTATAGTGAAGATGAAATTGAAATTTTGGGCAATTTTTATGGTCAAAACAAATATAAATCAGGAAATTTATTTCCTGCAATTTTAGATTCTGAAAATTTAAATCACGAATGGCTGTCAGTTAGATTTCTTCTAACTAATTATAAAAATTTTAATTTTTTGAAAGCATGGAAACGTATTTTTTCTGATTTTCCTACTTTTAATGAAATTTATCCTGAAACTGCAAAGTTAATTTCTATTTTAGTCAATCTTCCTTTAACTAATGCAGTTGTTAAACGTATTTTTTCTTGACAAAACTTAATTAAAACAAAACTTTGAAATTGTATGAGTATTTTTACTTTGAATTATCTTCTTCTTATTTCTTTTAATGTACCTAAATTAGAAGATTTTAATTTCCAATTAGTGTATCAAGAATGGTGTAAACTTGATCATAAAATTAAATAACTAAAATAGTATTGATATTATAGAGTTATACTGTATAAAGTATAACTTTTATATGTATATATATATATTAAATTATATTTACCAAAAATGGAGTATAAAGAACATCATATATTTAATACATACAAGTAAAGCATGTGATTCTTGGTTCTGCTTTTCTATATTCGAGTATGATATAAAGCTTTTTATACATTGATGTATAATATGTATCGAAAAGAACTGCATGCATATGATATAATAGTTGGACATCTTTCAGTGCAAATAGCACTGGATATTAAAAACTTTATTAAATCGCTTTAGAATAAGATGTAGAGATATATAGCATACATTAGTG